GGATTGGAAAGGCGACGACAGCTTTCAACCTGCTTAAATAAGTTTGGAAGTCAGGAGTAATAACTACAGTTACGAAGATCAGAATTTTCAACACAAATGTAAAGTCAGTGCTGCTTTATGGAGCAGAAACATGGAAATTAACGGCAGAATTCAACAGGAAGATGATGTGACAGAATGTGATGATGATATTTTACCTATCTGTGCTTCTATTCCCATTGCTGAAAATTCCCAGTGGTGATGTGCCCCACCCCTAGTTTGCAAAAATATAAAAAAAGAAAAGAAATTTATATTAATATTTAAGTTTAGGAGTGTCATCTTCGGCCACCTAGAGGTGTCATAATCATAAATAATCTCATTTTCTGGGTAGAATATTCATAACTCACATTCGTACATTCCAGAAATCCATCCACCAAACCTCCTTGACCAATCAAAGCAGTTTCCGACTAGGACCGCCTCTAACTCGTGTACAAGCAATGACCTTCAACTGTATTTATGTAAGCTTTATGAAGTATTTTAGTGATTTTTCCCGCCGCTTGCATGGCATTATTTCATCGTGTACAAACTCATCTTACTTCTAGGTTTCACTAAAATCATCTTTATTCCCGATGGGAAATCATCTTGATATAGTAGTCGAGGATTTAGACTTTCACACCGTTCGCTAAGGCGAATGTCAGAGCAAGAGATATATAGTACATAAATAAACATTAAAAAAAAATACAGCAGTGATGAAGGAATGTGATGATGATATTTTACCTAATGTATCTGTGCTTCTATTCCCATTGCTGAAATTCCCAGTGGTGATGTGCCCCACCCCTAGTTTGCAAAAATATAAAAAAAGAAAAGAAGTTTATATTAATATTTAAGTTTAAGAGTGTCATCTTCGGCCACCTAGAGGTGTCATAATCATAAATAATCTTATCTTAGCCCCAATCATGGTGGGGCTGTGGTGTTACAGACGCTCACTATGTGAAAACTCTTCCCTTGCCCCTCTATTTCGAATTCCAAATTCCGCTACTGACAGTGGTGAGTTAAAGGAGGCCCAGCCGTCCCGTCCTCCCTAAAATTTTCAAGATAAAAAAAATGGGGAAACAGGAAAAAAAAAGATATTCAAATTGTATGAGAGTGCAATTTCCATAGAGGTTCCATAATCATAAGTTTTCTTCCCGAAGCCCCAACCATGGTGTGGCTGAGTTCTAATATCTATATCTGTGAAAGTTCCTCCCAAGCCCCCCTTTTCAATTTCTTGGATCTGCCACTGAAGAACATTTAATACTGTACATATTGCATCTTCAGAAATCGATTAATTATTAAAGACCCTAAATTATCAAAAATGCCGGAGCTCGACCCCCGGAACAATTTCGGTCCACTCTCTACAAATTCTCCCCCACCCAATAAAAATCCTGCGTACGGGCCTGAGTCTTTTACTAACAAGATGTTTAAATGTTGACAATACCACACGGTTGATCAGAAATGGTAACTCCTCAATACCATTTCCTGGTGAAGAATATCTTTTAAAGATCAGATTGTAAATCAGTTTTCAATCTGCAGTAATTTGTCAATATCTAATTGTGAAGCTTGTTAACAAGTTGATGTGACTAAATCAAGTTTTATTGATAAAGGTAACGAAACACCTGTTTACAATTCTACTGGAAATGCATTTGAAAAACATGAATATTATTAATCAAATCCCTAAAAACATAAGTAGATTTATGTGTTCGTTTCTAAATCAAACGAGATCAAGTACGGAAGAAATTAATTTTTTTAACTATCCCGGTTTTCTGCTAATTATCAGTGTCATTGGCAACTTTTTATTATTTAATCGGTCTACCTTTTATTATTTAATCGGTCTACTAATTACTATATTTCTTCGTGTCATCATCAGCGAGACGAGGACACTGCCTGGAAAGTGTGTTGTGAATGTTTTCATTGCATTGTTTTGTTCGTTGTAACTTTAATCCAGAGTAATTTTATTTAGTGGCTGTATGGTTGTAGAGCAGTGGTAGTCACATTAAATTATCTGTGGCTTGTTTGTTTCTTGTGGATAAATTCAATGGCATTTGAGGTTTTTATAACATTCCGGGTTTTTTTTTTTTTAGAACTCCTTCAGTTAGTGCAAGATCACAAGAGGATACGTTTATCTAATATTGTATCTACAGTTAGGGAATCCGTGCGGTCTTTCTTGACGTCATTCTCGCATTTAGTTCTTGTGAATGCACAAGTTTAAATGTAGTGTACAGCGATGACAAAAGTTTTTTGATTCGAGATGAAGCTGCTTCATTCTAAGTGCTTTGGCATTTAATTAGCTGTAATCCTTCTGCCTGATCTTATATTTGTGGCAATGCCGTAGCCAGGATTTTCAAACAGTGCAGGACAATTATCAGGGTGGACCCACTTTATGCGTAAATTTTAAAACATGTGGACAAAGTTTACGAAAAAATATGAAAACTCTAGGCCCATTTTCCTAAATTTTCCCATTTAAAGCTAAATATGAGAAATCCCATTTTTCAAAAAGTGGACCCATTTTATGCATAAAATTACATAATTTAGATCCATTTTTTAATGTGAACCCGTTCTGTGTGGACCCATTAGAAAAATGGTGTGGGACTGTCCCAACTGCTGGCTACGGCATTGATTTGTGGCAACTATTACGGGTATTAGAGAATCAAAAAGAGCTTCAGAAAGTGTCATCAAAGGAAAATTGAAGCAAACGAAATTCATGGAAGAAATGACAATCTACATCCGGGTAAATACACATTTCGTGATTCATTTTGTATTGTTAATAGTTCTGATTTAATTTCTTATGATAATCATAATCTAATTATAATAAAATAATATTTTGTGAAAGTTCGATGAGGGTTTATCTTATAAATGGTGAAATCAATATACGAAATTGAATATGTTTTTTTTATATCTACAATAATGAGAGATTCCTGGTTCTTTGGATTTCTTGCACCGTTCTTGGGGCACGTGGCTATGTGGTATATTTTGAATTCTCTACTTGGCTTTTCCATTTTTATTGCTTTCAACCTCACACACTATAAAGTCCAAAGGATATTTAAAAAGCACAAAAATATATCTACTTCGAAATAAAAAATATTATCATCAGAACAGATTTCCATTGATAAGTATGAAGATTGATATCAAAGAGTTTACAATATTAAACCTTAACAATAAATAGTTTATATATTACATACCACTAAGTCTAATTTTTAATATTTTTGTTTTTTGTTCACTACTTGTTTAATTAATTATATTTTGTTACTTTTTATTTAACTTGCTGTTTCTTTGGACCACAATGAAAATAAGTTTACCTTTTCAGTACGTTATTGTATTTTTATCCTTGAATATTATTATTATGTTTGTATTTAGAACTGAAATTAAACATTAAGTATAATGTATAGTTTCTCATTCGAATTCAAGCCTGCTACAAATAATGCACAGAAGACAGCGTGCCTTTAGATTGTCCAATAACACGAGATACTAGTGCTATTATACAAATATTGACTGCTCATGAGAATATTGATGAAATTTATCGCCCCGAGGTGATGTGGAGACCGTAGCCTGAGGCTGAAGATTGATTGATTGACAAACTTGTTGAAAATATGACTGACTAAATGATTGATTAATTGATCGATCGAAAGATATATGGATGGATGGATTGATTGATGACAATGAGAAATCGATCGAGGTCATACATTACTGTTGGAACAAGTGGTAGATCCTAATACTACTTTGGCCTAATTACGGGACAGCATTATGCATTTCTGAACTTAATAAATAATAAAAATATTCTCGCCTCCTTTCTTGGAGGTGTAATTATCGTTTATTCTACCTGTAAATGTTTAGAAATTTCACTACAATATGTGGTTTTTTTCGTAAAGCCGATGATCGTATGATTATGAGTTTCCTACCTATCAGGTCCTCAATGCGGCCTGAGGTGATTCGGAAAGCATGCTCATGACTGACGCTGTGCGTCTTGAACTGCCGTGATGGACCTTTCCTATCATTCGACACTGCTTCTATCCCTCCTGTTATACTCCAAACACCTTTGCAGTCCTCAAAAGGTCGGCTTTACCGACCTAAACCAGAACCAGAACTGCTTGACTTGTGAGAAATTTCTTGATATTTCGGTCTTGGGCTCGATCTTATTGTTGTAAAAACAATTAAACCACAACGCGCTGCAAAAAAAAAAAATAATAATAATAATAATGTTGATGTCTCGCAATATCTTTGAAAAGAATTGCACCTTTGTCTACTAGATTTTGTATAAAACAATTCTCTTTTATTAGCGTAAATCCAGTAATACGCGGGAAATTATCCCCCACAAAAAGGAATTCATAGTTTTCTTTTCATAGAGACACTATTATATCTGTAGTTAGTATTATATTTTAAACAAAAACAAAAGATACTTTTACCGACTATTTGTGATTGCCAATTGACAGAATGTTGCTGGGCCTTCGTTTGTAAACTATTTGTAGTATCTAGTTGCTATCTTATGATCTATAAAAACGCTAGACCATGTATTATACTTGCTAAGTTAAAACATATGTATAATATGTCTAGGTTTATTGTTTACCTGAATTATTTGTTTACATAAAGCGTATCGACTCAAAGAAGAATAATTAGTAATAACAGTTAGGCCTAACAGAATATCATTTGGGCGTTGTTTCTATCATTTACAGACCAAAATATACAACAAACTATAATGTGGCTACCATCTGTACATTTAGGCCTATAAGCTAATACATGTGAAAATAACATATGTAGAGACAACCAAAGATAAGGTTGAGTAGTTCTGTATCTTTTTAATAAATTATTATTTTACGATTAGTAAATAAGACATGTTGAATACATCGTTGAAATGCAACATTACTGATATCACATTGTCAATTATTAATCAATGAATGAAATGACTGAATTATCTCTAATTGAAGTCTAATAATGTAATTACTGCCATATGGTTGCCGATTTAGGAAAAGTATATAAATAATGTTGCCGTGTATAATCTATATGTACATCCGTCGCGTTTCCATAATCGTCGATATGAAAGTGAAGGAATGTCTGTTGGTGTGGCTCTACTGCCTGTACTTCACTTCAGGTAGGTTTAAAACGTTTTTTTCCCCCATAAATTAAGGAATAAAGTAAGCAAATGATATGTACCTAGTTTACAGACTCTAACGCTACAAAAAAAATGTTTGCATTAATAAATTATGCTTTTGTCTATTGTAGATTTTTTTTTGGCCCCCTGTTTGTTTTACATATCATTTATAAATGATTTCGTAATGTGTTCACTATTATATTATGTGATCCGATTAATCTTAATTTGCTTTTATTCTTCCTTCGTTTTTAATTGCCTATTTATGAATTATTGTTTTTTTCTTCCTGTCTTTGTACTTTTGTCCCGGTTGTTGATCTATATTTTAAATATATAACCGCCACACTAAAGAGTCTGCGCTTAGTGACTAGTGCTGAATACCATCCCCAAGTAGCAGCGGGTACTGCAAATGCTATTTCAATGTGAGTTAAAACATGTCTAAACTAAAATAAATGCAAAAGTACGAGCACGCATGAATCAACAATATGGGTTTACATTCCACTACTATTTTTTATATCGGTACGTTTCTCATATGCAGACAGTATGATTTACAAGAACTATCAAACATTTTGATAGAGTTTTCATAAATAAGGACAGAATTGCCACATAGAATAAGTTGTAATTTTTTGTCATCCGTTTTTAAAGTTAAATATAGTACATGTTTTCAAATCATCACCGAGGGTAATATCTTTTTCTGGGATCAGCATTTCTTTTCTAATACTATCAAGAGCTTCACAAATATGAAATGTTTAACATCTCTTTTAGTTTAACAAAGGTATTTTATGTTTTTACAAAAACTATAAGGATACCTTATCTTCTTAGAACAACTTTTTCATTGAACAGCAATAACCACTCGTATTCAGCTCGTCAAGCTTTATGTTTTCATTTCCCCTTTTAGATTTTTGTCCAAGAAAACTACTTTAGCCTAAGAGGTCTTAAATTTGGTTTGACTTTCCAAATCAAATTAAGCAATTTATTGCTGGAAAATTACCGTGGTTTATACTAATTTACTTTTGGAGCTTCCAAAATTGCGTACAAGTCTCCACCCCCACACAAATTAATTCACTATTTATCTTTATAATTTTGTTGAATGTTTCCCAATAAATCTTTGATGTTTAAAGTTAAAGATATTTATTTCTGATTTTGTTTTCAGCATATTCGACTATATCCTATGGGACGACAGGTATGAAAACTTAATACTATTTTACTAATAATATTACCATTACCATTGCTATTGCCATCGCCAATGAGATTGCTATTGCCATTGCCATCTTCATTGTCATTGCCATCTTCATTGTCATTGCCACTATCACTAATATTATTATTGTTATTATTATTATTATTATTATTATTATTATTATTATTATTATTATTATTATTATTATTATTATTATTATTATTATTATTATTGGCTTTTCCCAGTAGTACTGGGAAAAGCCATTGTATTTGTTCTGATTTTTTCCTATTTTTTTTTTGCATATATTTTTCCTATCTTTTTGCACTGTTTTATCTGGCCGTCACTTCCCATGCTTAGAATTTTCCGTACTTTGCCGAAACATAGACCATATATCAAGGAAGTGCCTCCTAATATTTAGTGTTAATCTATGGTGGGGTGTGCGTGTGAGGGCCAATTAAATTGAAACTTTCTATGTAGTTTGTAAAGGTCCAGTAAAGAAATGACTGAATTTTTGTGTGGGTGTGAATATGAGGACCGTTAAAAGAAAACGTCCCAGACAAGATATTTCAAAAACGGGTCAACTGATCCGAATGAAACTTTCAGGAAAGTTTAACCCAAGTTACAAGGAAGATATTACTATGTGTAGGGGACGATCCAGGTTAGGGTGTAAATTTGAGGGTCATTTAAATTTCTTACGTACTAGTTATAGATGGATAAAAATGACACTTTGCAGAATAGTTTTTCATTGTGAAATGATCCAATTTTAGTGACGATCCGCAGTAGGGTGTGTAGATATGAGGACCATTTAAAGATTTTTTTTGACAGTTGATTAAATTAATTAAACGCAATTTGCGTTTTCTAAAGCCCTTAAACCAGTTACAGCTAGGTTAAACTCAAAACTACTGTGAATGCATGAACAAATAACATTTTTTCTTTCAGTCATTGAATCGCTATGTACTGAAAATGCACTTTCCTATTCAAGGCCGGCTCATTTGGCCGCAATGGTTATGAGTCACGCTGTACCTCATTATTGCCATTGTAGCCATAGTTAAAGTCTCACTAATAACGTCGCAGTCAACATGGTTTTCGTTTTTTTTTTCCATTTCTTTTTTTCCCCGTCATTAAAATTATATTGATTTTCCTTGTTTTTTTTTTTACTTTACACCTTTTAACGAATTTTCTTTTTGTTGCAATTTCAACTTCCAACTTTCTCATTAAATCAATGGGGAAAAGCCCTCTGTTGTTCAAACAGACATAGTAAGTCTAGTTATTATTAATATCTTTGTTATATTTATTGTCATTATTATATATATTCTATTTTATTGTTATTATTATAAAATTACTAGAGGGTACGCTCGCTTCGTTCGGTTACCCCGGCCATGATTAGTTTCGATAAAAGAGAACAATTCATGACCACTAAAAGAAGAGTGCATGTGATATAAGTACGCCATTCTGTAAAGACCCCTGTGAATAATTGTGATGACGAACGGTGTGTATACCTATGCTTATTGTCGGTAACATGTGATGAGAAGGTGTGATGGCGGTAAAACGTTTACATGCAATGTAGAGTTTTCAAGTTCTATAGAAATAGAAAAACATATTATAGAAATTTATCATTAGGCCTAGACCTATAAGTAAATAGGTCTACACATTGTCTAAAGTCCACGACAATAATGTTTCTATCTGGACCTTTTTTTTTTACATTGCATCTAGACAACTCAAATCATGCCATGGATTACTGATAAAGTATTGTGAAAGCCAGTAAAAGGTTCGGTAAAACTTGAGAGCTTAATATGCAATAATTGCCTATTAAAGTTTTACCACTTTTCCAACTATACATTTCTCTTAGTTCTTACAATTTCTTCCGTGAGCTCGAGCTTAACAAGAGTAATTTATAAATTATTAGACAAATTATAAAAGTTACGAAATTAAATGTATTTTTTGACTCTTATAATATAATATATTATTAATTTTTTTTTATAGTTCATGCTCCAGTTTTACAAGAAACGTGTTATTATTTAAGCAATAATACAATAAGAACATTGCAGGTATTTTTTTTTACTATATATGCGTGGAAATTGCAAATTGCAAACAAATTGCTATCCCATGTATATTATATAATAATAGGCTAGTACTGTAATAGTAATGATAATAACAATAATATCGGGCCTATTATTAATCGGTACTTGCATAGCGTATACAGCGTACCAATTTTTGCCCCACGGAATATTAGAATATGTCAGTGTTTTTACATTAAAAACTCCTACTTATAATACCCGGTGGTGAGAAATAATGTGCCGTCGTTACGGATGACACAGTACGATACTATCTCGACAGCCTCATTTGCAACCGAGCAAGTTTTAAATTGCTGGTTTAGTAGAGCGGCTAAAGTTGACTTTCAGGTAGAATCGTGAAATTTTCCAGCCACTCCTAGCCCATGGTTCGGTTGGTAAAACCAAGTCTTCTCGGATAAAAAATTAAAATGGGGGTACAGTGTATACATCTGGCTCGTATGCACTTTAAAGAACCCATTGCATCTTTCGGAAGAGTAGAGGGTTACTCCGATGTTATGGTTCATTTCAGCCCCTGTCGCTGTGTAATGATGTGAACATGTATCTACCATGAAGCGCCTATTTACGGCTGCTAGGTAGTCAGGGACTACGACCATACTTAATTCAGCACAATGACGCTGCAAATTTTGGGTTATTCTCATACCTTTACCTTTACAAACAGAAAAAACAGACAGTTCAGCGAGATAGACTTATGGAACAAATGTTTCTTTAGAAGCTGACGAAAAAAAAAAACAAGATAACAAGATGCAATTCGTAAATCACTGAGAAGACTATTCCAAAGCGTAGGTGCAGCAATTGAAAAGGACCTATCAACTGTTTTTTTTATTTTATTAGACCGAGGTATATGAAGGAAAATGATCCAAATGAACGAAGATTAATGCCTAGAGATAAGTAAAAAAAATGTAAGCTGGGGTACTGTTTTGATGATTAATTAAACAAACTGTGATGGATAGTGTGAGAAAAAGAATTCTCTCTCTAATGTGCAACCAGTGACGTTGCCGGAATAGTTAACTAGAAATATGAAATTTAGAGAGGTGAAAAATTAAAAGTGCACATCTATTCTCAACTAAAAAATATTATTTTTGGTGTGATTTATCGCCTAGGTAAGTTACCAATAATAACATTTCTAATATTCTTGACATAATTAATAGAGAAAAAAAATATCGGACCTCGCTGATGATTTCCATATTTATCTTTTAAATTTCAATACTCATAATCAAACGTCTGAGTTTATTAGTACCAATTTTAATTCCAATTTTTACCCTTTAACAACGAAATCAATGTGCATCACAACTAAAATCGCAACCCTTATAGACAATATTTATACAAATAATACTTATGACCAAATTTCTTCAGGCATTTTTTATTCTGACATTTCTGATCACTTTCCAGTCTTTTCTCTAACTAATAATAACACCATAAATTTTGGGCAATCTTCTAAAAAATTAATATTAAACAATTTCTGCTTTTAAAAATGAACTCTCTACTGCAAATTGGACTAATGTATATAATATTAATGATGATCCAACCCCATACGATACTTTTAACTGTAAATTTAACTCTTTATGTAATAAACACTTCCCAAAACATAGATGTAGAAAAATCTTCGTAAAGAACATAAACCATGGATATCTAATGCATTAATTAAGTCAATTGATACTAGATAAAATAAAAACTTTACAAGAAATATATAAATATAGAAATAAATTAACTAAATTACTTAAGTTAGCCAAAATATATTACATTGACAAATATAAAAATCATAGATCTAATATAGAAAAAAAATAGAAAACAATAAATAATGTTCTTGGAAAAAAATACTTTAAAAACCTATACCTTCTTCTTTCACTCATAACAACAACAAAATCCCAGACCCTTTATCGATTGAAACCAACTTTAATAAATATTTTATAAATATTATATTGGTCCAAAGCTTGCTAATAATATTTGCAACCCGGTAAATAATGCTAATTTCGCGTCTTCTTTACAGAAGCCTAAATAAAAATAAAGACATATTATTTGAAACTATGAACATTGAATTAGCTAAGGTTTCAGATTGGTTTAATTTAAATAAGTTATCGCTAAATATTTCTAAAACAAATTATATTTTATTAACCAAAAGCAAACTCACTAAATTAAAAGAAGACCTATACATTGATACAAATAGGATTAGTCGTGTTAATGAAACCAAATTTTTAGGAGTGACGATTGGCTCTTAAACTAAACTGAAAACCTCATATCAACCGTGTAAGTAACAGCGATGCACGCAATATAGGAGAGTTAACAGATTAAAACATTGTCTTCCAACTGAAATCCTTTTTAACTTATACCATACTTTAATTTGACCATACATTTTTATTGCAATATTGCATGGGCTATAAAATATAAATAAATTTAAAATTAAATTCTTGGGAAAGTTTTGAAACTACTCAAATTGATCATCGCTTTCGCCTTCAGAAACGTGCTCTACGTATAATGTACCGGAGCAGGACATAGATCTCACACCAAGCATCCTTTTTGGTTTTTATTTTATAATTTCAATGTTCTTCATATTTATGATATAAATAAACTTGACATTGCAATTTTTATGTATCGTTTACTTACCAATTCGCTACCAACTCACTTAAACAGTCTCTTTACCAGGGTGTCTAATTTTTACAATTATCCTACGAGGTTTTCTGAATGCAACTTTCTAAACTAAACTTTGTAATGATACTCGTAAAACATCGTTACTGATTAAATCCAACTTTATTGAAGATAAGATCAAGGTGTGAGTTAGCGTTATCGTAAGATCAAACTTAACTAATAAACCATCACTTTATAGTTTTAAAACCTCTTTTACAAAGTCTCTGATCTCTGTATATGGTGACTAATCCACATTTGCTTTTTGTATTAAAAGTACCTTAAATTAATGTTACGAAGGATAAACTTTCT